TTTCTTCCAACTAATTCATGCCAAACTTAGGGTCATCAATAAGTTCGCCTTAGCTAGTTTGATTAATAAACAAACTAAAGCTGAACTTTATTTTAACTTTATCTAGTTAAACAAATTATATTTGAAGTTGTATGTATCAATTTAAAAAGTTATTAATTAGATTAAATTTACAGAATATCTTCTTTTTTGAATTAAGATTTTTAAACAAATATCTTTTATATGAATAATGATACGGAGGACGATTATTGGGAGACGAAATTAGACAACGACTTACCTGACTTGCCACGTATATAGATACCCAACCCACTTGCCATATAGACATACACACGTGTAAATTTATTTTTGGAAGGGACAATTTGTAAAAAGAGTTTTCCTTAATCCCAAATGCTAAATCTCATTGAAACCCAGTTGCAAACTTCACTTCCTATTCTTGCATCGCCTTGCATCTCTGCTCTATGCCAAAGTTGTTTTTTTCGACATTGATTTGGTAAGTTTCATCGAAACCAAACTTATTTGATTTATCAATATCAATTTCTCTTCTGTCGTCATCCTGAGCCCCAACCCTAACCATCCGAATCGAAGATGTGGAAAAGGAGAACCAACCAAATCAAAAAGGAGGAAGACGAAGATGAGACCTCAATTTTTAGTTGGCCAATTTTTAATTTGCTTTGCTTTCGATTTCCCTCTTTTTAGTTGGCCAATTTTTTGTTTACTATTTGATTTATTGTGGCTGTGATTTCTTTAGTTTACACATGTGTATGTCTATGTGGCAAGTGGGTTGGGTGTCTGCATACATGGCAAGCCAGGTAAGTCGTCGTCCAATTTCGTCTCCCAAGAGTCGTCTTCCGTATCATTATTCCTTTTATATATAAAAGGTGCTCCAAATTCCAACTTCAAGCAGTACCCACTAGAGCCTTTTTTTTCTTTTTAGTGCTTCTTTTGGCTTGAAGTTAACATTAATTAGAACGGCTTCTATGTATAGCAAGTGCTCCATTGTTAAGCTGATTTTCTCTTTTCTTCCAACTAATTCATGCCAAACTTAGGGTTATCAATAAATTCGCCTTAGCCAGTTTGATTAATAAACAAGCAGAAGCTGAATTTCATTTTAACTTTATCTAGTTAAACAAGTTATATTTAAAGTTATATGTATTAATTTAAAAAGTTATTAATTAGATTAAATTTACAGATATCTTCTTTTTTGAATTAAGATTTTTAAACAAATATCTTTTTATATATAAAAGGTGCTCCATTATTAATCTGTTTTTTCTCTCTTCTACTCCAACTAATTCATGCCAACTTAGAAAGTATCTTCTTTTTTGAATTAAGACTTTTAAACAAATGGAGCTAGAACCACTTAGTAATGTATAATTAATTTAGGCTTGGCTTAACTCAATGACACTCTAAAACTTGCTCCAAACTAATTCAAAAGCATCATATGTATACACACTATTCTCTATAAAGTAATAATTAAGAAATAGATTGCTTTTTGCTAGGTTAAATTTTAGACAATGACTTGAGTGGAGTAGGCTAATAAACCCCACTAAAGAGTAGACCGATGGGGCCACAATTGGACTAAAATAGATAGGAATGATAGAAGAAAAGGAATGAGATCTCTCATCTTCTACCATTTGTAATTTGTAAGAGAAGTTGAAGGCCACGTTTGTCTAAAATTACAGCCACTGATGTTACACGATGCGGTTTTTGTTTGTTTTGTTGCTAGATTAAGATAAGCACTGGGCTAACATAGAACCAGCTAGAGCTGATAATTTCTGTAATTATTGGGGTATATATATATATATTTTTTGTGGACATGAATCAATCGTATGTGCAGGTTGGCTTAAGCCCACAAACATGGCAGATTCATCATTCACTTAGGCGTCTCGTCTGGACAAAGCTAAGTACTATATATAAATGGACAAACCAAAACATCGGAAAGCCAGAAATCCAAGTAATGTTTGTCCAAGTTGTTCTCTGTTGAATGGTGACATGTTCCTAAGCCTGCATCTTGTATCCATCAAATTATTCGCATATTGGGATACTATTCCACCATACAAACCAAAATAATCTGGACTTAAATCCATAGTTTTTAAGTTGTGAGTTTCAATTTTTAATCTTAGTCATTAAACTATAATTTTTAAGTTATGAGTTTCAGTTCTTAGTATTGATTATTTTTTCTTTTACATTGAAAAATTAAAAAAGGGGTAATTGCCTAGGTTAGAACACAAGACTTAGATGTTTAGACACTGTTCTTTACGGGAGTGGTCAGTAAGCTACTTGATGCTGGACTTGACTATTAAATTAAAAATCTCACCCCACCTCATTAACATGTATTATTTAATGTAAAGCTAGTACAACTATCAAACTGTTAATTTTCGAGGATACGTGATACTGTTACTAATATTTGTGGCCAAAAGAAATTAAAATCTATTTATTTGTTGTGTTGAAAAGGTCAACTAATGAACAAAATTTAGTTTCCTTTCCGTGGCCTTCATTGCTACCTCTAGCCACCTTCATCAATTGTGCGTAATTCACGCTCCTTAATTTTTTAATTGAAGCAGGAAACCATTCAACTGTTTTTTGGTCTTAAATTCTTCTTTCTTACCTTCATATACTTCCAAATCAGTTCTCTTTCTTTGTTCCCAAAATTTCACTCCTCCATGACTTAGCTTTTGATCAAGGTATGATACCTATATAGCTTTGTTTCTTTCCATTGATGCCTTCAGAGTTCATTCTCTTTTTGAAATTTTTACATCTTTCTTATGCCATTGTGATTCTATTAATATCTGTCAATGTAAATTAAAAATTTTGTTATTTTTAAATCTTTTGAATTAAAACAAAATGTGAAATAAATACAATTAATGATATGAATCATTCTTGAAATAAAACATATCCAATTTAGGATAAATATAGTGTATATTGATTCAATTTTTGAAGAAATTCTTTAGCCAAATGCAATTTTATAATTTTTTAAATTGTAGTTACAAATGTGTTACTTTTTTAAAATTTAGCCTTTTTATGTTAATAGCTATATGAACAACCATTAAGCATAAATTGTACTAACTCAACTCAGAATCTGGAATGAGCATTCCTTCTTTTCTTTTCATGGTTCAATGTAGGCTCTCCTTAGGAATTTTTTGAATTGAGAGAACCTGGAGACCCAGCTGTGCTTATTATGGCAACGTCGAGGAGAGATGGAATTGTGGGGAGGGAGAAAAGGGGTCCTTCCCCTGTAAATTCCAGCATCGCCTCCACCCAAAGAAGCACCAAGAGTTCCACCTCTCCATCACCAGGGAAACAAGCTAACTATCTCAGGCCTACCGCTGTGAGCTCACGCACCGAACCTTCCAAAAATGTCAAGAAACCTGGCTCTGTATCTGATCAAGACACCCCCCCAAAGGCTGCTCCTCTTCGAAGAAGATCCCTGGACCGCCCTGATCCATCTGCTGCTGGAGCAACTAAATCACTCATTTCTTCTTCAGGTCCTAAGGATAATAATAAACCAAAAACCATGCGATCTGTATCCTTCTCCCCTAAATCCAGACCTCCTTCGCCCAAGCCTACAGTGGAAAGAACTTCCAAAACGACTAAGGCAATCACCGGGAAATCCCATACGTTATCTTTGTCGAATAGCATGAAAAAACCTGTAACTCTGTCTTCTACTACTAAGAAGGATTCTGTTTCGAAGAAGTCACTCAGCACGAGCAGCACCATTCATGATACAAAACAAGAGATTAACGTTGAAACCAAGAATGAGATTGATGAATCCCCTGTTCATGATGTTGAGAAGGTGGAAGCACCGGATATACCACAATCCCACATCGAAAAGGAGCTCGATGTTGTGAATACTGAGGTTAAAAATGGGGAAGAAGTTGATGAGGATACCATTTTTGATATCGCTACGGTTCCAGAAGAACAGAATCTTTCACAGATTGATGAGGAAATTTTATATGGAGAAAAATCCGATCCTGAAGATCTTCTAGAACGTGATGAGAATGCCAAAAATGATGGTGATTCTCAAGAGAAGATCGAAACAGAGGCCGAGAGCAAAATGGAAGAGAATGCTGTTGATGAAAAGGAGGGTACAAGTGAAGAAGAAGAGGAAGTAAAAGATAACAGGGTCGAAATCGAAACCAAAAATGAAGTCGAAAACAAGGAGGCTAATGAAGGGAGCCAGAAATTGACAGAAGAAGTGGACAACAGCGGTGTTGTAGAAGCAAAGCCAGAGACGGTAAACGTTACGTTCAAACTACAGACGGTGGCGGCGCAAGGGAAGAAGGAATCTCCAACGGCTTACAATGATGTGATTGAGGAGACTGCGAGTAAGCTGCTGGAAAAGAGGAAGAACAAGGTGAAAGCACTGGTAGGGGCATTTGAGACTGTCATAGATTACGAAACTGCTGCTTCCAAATGAATCCTGAGATTTTCCCATTTCATTACAGTTCTGTTAAAGTTTATTGATTTATGAATCATCTGCTAATTTGTACGTAATAAAGAACAAATCAGTTTTCTATGTTGTTCTTTTTCCAACCAAATTGGTTCGATTTAGAAAGGTTTTTGTCCTATGACACATTACCTTGTGGATCATAGTTACAAGTGATTAATGTGTCTCCACTGGAACACACAACTTTTGCACGACCAACCTTCAAGCTCTGCCTCCATACCATCTGGGTATAATGCAAGCAGTCCTTATTCTGAGTGCAACTATTACCATTATAGTTGTAGTAACTTTTTTCTGCTGCCCATACGGCCACTGCATCGCCGAGTTTCCAATCCTTGCCGCTGCCCCAGAAGAGATTCTGACCGTAATTGCCTTTTGAATGAATCAAAGCACAATCTCCCTGCCGTTGTTGTGCCCACCATGAAGCGAAGTCTGCAAGTTTTTTGCTCCATTTGAGAAGAGGAAGTCCGAGTTCTGATCTTGCAATGTTGTGTGGTATGAGAAATTGTTGAATTGAGGCTGTTCTAGAAGTGTCTTCGATTAATAGAGGGCGGAAGATGAGTGGAGATGATGAAGATAATGAAACAAAAGAAGAAAGGAAAAGGAGGGTTGTTAGTAGACTTGGAAAAATCTTGGGTCTGATTTCCATTTTGGGTACAGGAGATTTTGGTGTTTGGAACTTGATTGAAGATTAAAGATATGAATGTTTTATACTTTATGTGAGAGAATTGGGATGATTGGTTTCATGTTGTTTTGATAATGAGAAGGAATCAATTCCTGTGATAAAGGGCCCAAAATGACGGGATTTGAGTTGGAAAGTCTCAAAAATTGATGGCTGCTTTTCCTTATTTAATTAAATATGTAAATTTGTGAATGATTTAAAAGGTTTAATAATAATATCTTTTTCAAGTGAAACGAGATATGTTAGTGTACACTAAACCTATGGATTACAATATTGCATGTTGAAATCTCACTCTCTTTTTTTTTTTACATCTGAATAAATTATCTGAATAAATTATATAAAATGGTAGAATCCTTTTTTTTTTTTAATTCTTTTATATCCAACTCAAATTCAAATTTAATATCTCTAATTTAAAATTTCAGGTTATTAACTATTGAACCCTTCGAATTAAAATCTTACTTTAAATGTTACACGACTGTTGACATTATAGAGAAAATCCTTTCATTTCATTACTGGCACCCAAATGGCCAGAGCAGAGTTCAGGCAGGGCTTCACATGATTGCTAGGCGAGGACATGTGAATTGTGAACATTGGGCATTAGGGCTAGACTGGAAATTTCAATTCAAAAAGTGTTAATGGGCCTCAACTGCGACTCCCTCAATCTGGTAAGGGCCGTAATTGATTATTGGGCTAGGAGCAAGCTCTGAGCCCAATTAGATCTCAAACAATCAAATTGGGTGTTTTTGGGGGCTCACCAACCCAAGTAATCTTTTATTGGAGTAAGGTGGGCCCTGCCTCCTCCTAAATTCCTTTTCCTTTTTGTTTTGCGGCTTAAATTCCACGCGTTCCTGTCGTAAAGCTCCACGTTTTTGTTCTTGGAAATTTCTAGATCTACGCGTCTTTTACTCGTCCAGATTTTTCCAGATTAGAGCGTTGAGCTTAACCTTTCCGGTGTCTAGAACTTCAACCATTTCTTTGCGTGTTCTTCTTTGAAAAAACTCAACGAACTGCTTTCTATAAATACCTTCGAAACCACTTCGAACATTGATTCGGCTTATTTTCTTGTGACCCATCGAAATAATCCAGAAGGCAATCGAAGAGGAAGATCAACTTAATCTGCGAAAAGATGTGTTTGGTTTTTGTGTGCGATCAGGATGAACAGGTGATCGGGAGACAGCAAGCGCCGGGGGCTTGTCCGTACTGTGGAGGTATGGTGCAAGCAGTGGACGTAGAGAGCCAGTGGAGATTCTGTTTCTTGCCCTTCTATTTCAAAACCAAGAGAAGGTTCTATTGCACCATGTGTACTCGGCGCTTGGTGATGCAGGGATAGGATCGATCCCCGCATATCATGATATAACTTAGTAAAACATAGCTTTTAATTTTCCTTTCGAAGATTTTCCCCCTTTTTTTCTGTTATGAAGAATAGGCTTTGACTTGGGTTATCTCAATTCTCTTGTTCACTTACTTTTGGGTTTTCTTATTTGTACATAAAGATCGATTATAAATAAATTAGTGAAAGATTGCGATCATATACCTTTTGTGTTGCCCTTTTTTTTTTATGCTGAAAGCCTCCGGATCGGTTTCTATTTACCTTGAAATTAACTAGGACGAATTTCAAAACGCAATCTTCTACACGATTAAATGCATTTATTAAAAATTTAATTTTTGACCAAGAACTATACTGCCTATCTTACATGTTGTGGAATTCCTTTAACAAGTGATATGGGAATGTACTTGGGAGTTCGCATTTTACATGGAAGGCAAACAAAAGATACTTATAAGCACTTACTTGAGAAAATCCAAGTAAAGCTATCCAGCTGGAAACAGAAAATGTTGAGCATGGCAGGGAGAAGGGTCCTGGTTCAATCAGTTACCTCTGCAATACCTACATACACAATGCAGTCAATACTTTTTCCAGATTATGTTTGTGCAGCTATTGATCGATTGAATAGGAATTTTCTTTGGGGGTCCGATGTGGCAAATAGACCCCATCTTGTTAATTGGCACTCTGTTTGCTTACCCAGAACTCAAGGGGGTCTTGGGATACGTTCGGCTAAGGATAATAATCGAGCTTTAATAGCAAAGCTTGGTTGGCAATTGCTATCTAACCCGGAGAAGCCATGGTGCAGGGCTTTTATTCAAAAATACCTTCAGCATGGAAGTTTCATGTCCTGCAACATCAACTCAACTTCCTCTGTTACGTGGAAGAGTATTTTACGGTGTAGAGATGTCTTACGGCTAGGCCTTCGGTGGAGAGTTGGTAGTGGGGAAAAGATCAGATTCTGGCAGGATGCTTGGGTCAGCGACAGGCCTTTGTTGGATGCTGCTTTACTTCCAGTGCTCGAAGACCAGATTGATATTCCTGTTTCTCATGTAATTAATCCAGATAGGACTTGGGATTTTCAGGTACTGAAGCAACTTCTCCCAAAGTTGGTGGTTGAACAAATCTCGGCTTTACCATTACCATCTTTCGGACATCAAGAGGATGGAATGTACTGGGCGGGCTCACATACTGGAGTTTTTTCAGTAAAAATTGCCTTTCACTTGTTGCAAAATCAGTCCATTAATATCCATACCCATTCACGGAATTGGAGTTGGATTTGGAAATTGCATTGTGTTGAGAAGATAAAAATGTTTATGTGGCTTTTGTGGAGAGGAAGATTATTCACAAATTCCCTTAGCTTTGAACTCCATTTTGCATCTTCACCCTTGTGTCCAAGATGCGAACAAGATCAGGAGACTCCATTGCATCTTCTAAGAGATTGCTATTATTCCCGGCTGGTATGGGAATTTACACCTTTGCCAGCAAACTTCTTTAACTTGGACTTCGATGGCTGGCTTTACCAAAATGCAACTTCCACTTCTTCAACTGGAGAGTCTCGTCAGCTGTGGTCCATGTTGTTCCTAGCCCTCCTCTGGTACATCTGAAAGAGTAGAAATGCTTTGATCTTTGAAGACAAGCGGCTTCCACCCCAAATTGTGCTTCAACAGGCTACTTCCTTAACTATGAACACCAAATTAGCACTGGCTACGCAGATTT